GGACTTGTATTGCTGAAGTTTTTCGGAAATAATTTCTACGGAAAATTAACAAACGTACACAGAGATGTAACATTACTTTCAAGAATCTTCTACAACTTTGGAGAATAGGCGAGAGTTTTGCAATACATATCTAACATTATAAGCTATGCATGCTTTTAAATATAAATTTAATCTAAACAAACGTTGATATTAAAATAAATATATAATAATAAATTCGTTACAGATGTCAGTCACTGACATACTCGCTATTTTCGGCAGGCAGCGGGTTGGTCAGAAGGAGTGAAACATTTGTGTCTATAAGTACTTTTTTTTTAATACATCTTGGGTTGAAAATTGACGTTTTAGCGCAAAGCTACACAATAGGCTATCTTTTTACTACGGAAAATCGAACACTTGACTTTACAGAGTTGTAAGTTCGTAAACTTACCGTTGATCCAATGGGGGACAGGTTCAAAATAATTTTAAAACTTGCAATGGAGGTCACCAGTAATTAGTTGGTTGGTTTTTATATTTTGCACAAAGCTTCTCGAGAGCTATCTGCGTAAGCCATCCCTAATTAAGCAGTGATAGACTACCCACAATCAACTCTTTTTACCAACGAGTTATGGGATTGACTGTCATATTATAACACTCCCCACCACACACACACACCGATTAAGAGTCAAATGCCCTAACCACCAGGCCATGCCAGCCTGCACCAATAATTATAAGAAATTTAAACATCAAATCATGAAAAGCCAACATTTCATGTTTTATGGTCAGTGAAGCTGGATATTTAAAAACCTTCAGTCTACAAGTATCTAGCTGTTCTATTCATTTTAACTTGCAGTCATAAAATAGTCAGTTAATTACTTCTTTTTATCAGATACAAAATATGCAATATTTCATTAAAAAAGTAAAACAGAAGGCAGAAATTGAGGCTTATAACGCACAAATCTTAAAATGTACAAATGTAAGGTTTGTAACTGTACCTGGTGTTTCACAGTTTATTTGTAAAATACAGATTTCAACAAATAAAATCACGACCTATTTCTCCACAATTTGTCTTTATTAGCTCAATATTTCACTATTAGAGCTTCGTCAGGAGCTATCGACATGCTACAAGTTTACTAATCCAGTTGAATCTAAACTGATATAAGTTATTATTTTAGTAACCTTAATACAAATGTTTCATAATAAATTCCAGTTATTAGCTCAATATAAGAATCACAATATATTTTAATAACAAACAATTCATGTAGTAGATGTTTTCATAAATGCTATGCTATTTACTTAAATCTAGTCTGCTAAAATATATATTCCAGTCCAAAAATAACTTTTTGCATCGATTGAGAAATAGCATTTGACTGAATATTAAAAAACATTTCAAAACAATAAATTCTGTTAAACTTGTTTCTACCACATAAATTGTGATAATAAATAGTTACACTAAATCATCATATTGGTTAAACCCAAAATTTTATTATTTTAAATAAAGTGAATTTTAACGCAAGCAACAGAATTGTAATTAACACTTTGTTTTTGCGAAAATAAAGATGAAGTATTTAGTTTAAAAACAAATCCTTTATGGGAGTGATTTGGTTGGAATAAGCAGCCATAGCGGAAAACAAAAATTTTTTTTTTAATCCAAAATCAAATCAGAAAACTTAAAAATCAATAATATGTTTTTTTTCAAGCATTTATCAAAAAGTTTTACTTTTTGACAAAGCCATATGAATATTCATTAATTATAGAAAGTTAACATTTTCTGAAGAGATTTTGTTTC